TCTGCTAATGTGTTATCAGTCCACATCTTCACAGTTCTAACCGTGTCTGGGTCTGCTTTGAGCCTTTTGATGTAGGTGGGCTATAGCAGAATAGCAAGGTGGTCACATTTCCCAAAATGCGGCTTGGGGGACAGCAGTATAAGCACTTCCAGTGTTACTGTAGCATTTGTCCAAGGTTCCCTGGTGGGGAAGTTCACAAACTGGTGAAATCTGGGGTTGCTTTTCCGGAGATCACAATGGTTAAAGTCTCCTAAGATAACAATAGCAGCATCTGGGTATGAGTTCTCATGCCTGCTGATCATGTCATGCAGTTCTTTGAGTGCGTTGTCCTTGTTAGCCGAGAGAGAAATATACACTGTACTTAATATAATGCACTGCAGTTCTCTGGGCAAATCTCCGTCATGGAGATAATGAAAATATCTGAAGACTGTTATGAAAATGAATGTTAAAAATGAAAATGACATGAAAACCTATCTATGAAAACATGAACACGTGATTGGAACACTGTTAGATTATGATTATGATGCAGCAATGTTATTAATAAAGAAGCATCTAAAAAGGAATAGGTGCCTGAGGTGAAGAGTGACTTTATGCCAATAAACTGAAGCCCGTTCTATGACACATCCTATGATATTAATCAGATAACTTGGATACGTAACATAGACGTAACATTACAACTTGTATCTGCACAAAAGGATGCGAGAGAGAGAGAGAGCCCGCCGTGATGCGCTTTCATGACAGCCCGCTGAAACACGGGCAAGGACATAATTTACTATAGATTTTTATAAAGTTCTCATAATGCTATATTTATGGCAGATTTGTGCTATATTTTCATCTTTTAGCCAGAGATACCTTGCTGAAGCACAAGATGACATTAACGTTCTGCTTGAGCAGATGAAAAGTGTAACTTAGAGTATGACAACCAGAAAATGAACGTTTTCGTCTTAATTGTGATTGGGATGAAGAGTGACTTTATGCCAATAAACTGAAGCCCGTTCTATGACACATCCTATGATATTAATCAGATAACTTGGATACGTAACATAGACGTAACATTACAACTTGTATCTGCACAAAAGGATGCGAGAGAGAGAGAGAGCTCCCGCCGTGATGCGCTTTCATGACAGCCCGCTGAAACACGGGCAAGGACATAATTTACTATAGATTTTTCTAAAGTTCTCATAATGCTATATTTATGGCAGATTTGTGCTATATTTTCATCTACATTATTAAAGGGGTCATCCGATGCCCACTTTCCACAAGTTGATATGATTCTTTAGGGTCTTAATGAAAAGTCTGTTACATAGTTTGGTTAAAATTTCTCAATGGTAGTGTAAAAACACCTTTTTTACCTTGTCAAAAACAGCTCTTTTCAGAGCAAGCCGTTTTGTAGCATTTCCCTTTAAATGTTAATGAGCTCTGCTGACCCCGCCCTCTCTTCTGAGCCGCTCTCTAAGGGACTGTTTACTTTAGCTGCATTCATCGTGAAACTTGCTAATTAGCACATTATTAGGAAAGGCGATTTGCAAAGATTCATAAAAGAACCTTATACTCTATAATGATTTGCGCGAACATAAACGCATTTATGTAGATCGGGGGGCGCATTTCCTTCAGAAACAAACGTAATCCACTGCATCTTCAGCAGCTCAGATGTCGGGATGTCGAGCTCAGATCCACTGGGTGGATTTTTATCATTATAGGGTAGATGTGTACACACACTGCCAACACACATTTATGTTCAAACAACATTCTGAGATCGGCTCGATTTGAGAAAGGGGTAAAGATTTTAGTAGATAAAAAAAAAACACTGGGTGGATTATCATTATAGGGTGGTTGTGTACACACACTGCCAACACACATTTCAGTTCAAACAACTTGTAAAAGTGCATGTAGCATCGGATGACCCCTTTAAGTGATTCCATAAATCGCCTGCGCGTTTTCGAAGCCATACGAATTATGCCATTGAACAAATATGACGAAAAAGCACTGCTGCATTATAACATCAGTATTTTATTTAATTTTTTTAAAGAAACATCTAAAAGCAATATGACCGTCTCAAATAACTCATATAGTCAATATCGGGCATTGCATTTGAGCATGAAACTAAACCATGATATGCGTGACTTCGAGGCCATTCTCTCTCTTCTCACGTCTTTTGACAAGCTAAACAATCAGAGCTCAGGGCGCTGCCCAAAGTGTTGCTATAACCAATCAGGAGAAAAAACATTTTTCCGATCATTCTTTACATGATCGATCGTCGCTGTCACAGTCGGGACGGGTACTCGATCGCTGTTGCACATCCCTAGCTCTAACATACCACACTTGAGAAGAAAATAACAATGCTAATGAAATAAAAACTACGTAAAGCTTGACTCTGAGAGCTACGCTATGTCGCACACAGGGGAGCGCCATGTTTGTTTCTGGTCTTTTGTGCTTGAAGAGCCATCCAATATCTTTATTGCAGATTATAAATGATGGATGGATGATGGTGAGATTGATGGGAGGCAGGGAAGAAGTAGATGATTGGGGAATAGGAGAAGTAGAATTAAATAAATGGAGGCGGAGGGAAAAGGATGTTAAAGGCTGGTTGATAGCCTTATAAAACCTACAGTAGAATATATATTTGTTGGGAGGTGGTGTTTTGTAATTGGTGAGACCTTCCAGGTCTCGCCACGTCGACCCTGGGTCATTAGCTAAAAATGTGTTTTTTGACAGTCCTGGGGTCTCATTTATAAAACTCTCCGTAGATTTCATCCTAAAAGTGTACGTACGCTCAAAAGCTAGATTTTGCGTACGCACAAAAGTTTTCAGATTTATTGTACGTCAGAACCTGCGCAAAAATCTCTTTATAAACCCCAGTCACGGGAAGATTGTGCGTACGTGCATCTCCACCCCGTCTCCTTCCCGAAATCACCATATATGGAGCTTACAACGCCTTGTTTTATTATGCATAACCTCATCTGCATATCATTTCCATGCATATTCCCATCCACGTGACACCATGTTTAACACCGTCAAAGATAAAAGACATTAAGGAAATATGAGATACGGACTATGCCATTTGTGCCATACATTAATTTTTATTTCATGTCAGTTTAAAATAGTTATCAGATAAATATTTTAGAATAGAGTTGATCTCATTCTTTTACACTGGCCAAATAGTAGCCTAATTCAATTGTTTTAAACAATTCAAATCAAACTAAATTTATGCAGTTTTGCTGATAAGGTGAATATCTTTTAGCTATTTTGAGTGGAAACAGATAGACCTATTTATTGCAGTGTAAAATTGTCTGACTCGGCGCGTCACTAACAAAGTATTTTAAAAAGTAAACGTATAAATCTTACCGTTTTCTTCAAGTTGTTGCCTTCAAATACAGCGGTACTTTTCATAATGTTGTAGAGATGCCTTCACACGACATCAACACCTCTGTGCAGCTGTGGTTGTACAGTAAGATATTATCATTGGACCTATTCAAACTGGACAGTTCACAGTTCAACCACTGAATCCAGCAGTGTCCGCCATAATATCGAAGTAAGTGCGCATCATTGTTCTTGCTAAAAAAATATTTTCTCATAACGAGATCTGCAGTTCAGTTTAAAGATGAATTATTGTGCACCTATAGCACTCCTCGCTGTCAATAAAACAGGAAAAGTGATCAAGCGCATCCACTACAAATGTCTAAATTCAAATAATTTTGGTTTAAGTTCTGCGTAATGACTTTGTCATTTCAGTCCTTATCTCCAAATGAGAGTGGAATATTTAATGTAAATGTATATATCAACATGAAAACAGAGCTTAAAATCATTGTTTTTATAAATCCCACCTTTTGCGCAGGAAGTGGCGTACGCCTCTTTCAGGGCTGGTTTTGTGTGTACGCAACGGTTATAAATGAGGCCCCTGGTCTCTGTTGTTAGTGTGTTTTTGGCTTTGTTGTACAGTGTCCTTGTCCCCTGTAAGCTGCCCTTTTATCCTTCCATTTTTAAATTTCCTGCAAATGTTGGTGGGAATACATACATCCCATAAAAACCTGTATATGTTGACCTGCAAACTCTGACATCTCTGAACTATGCAAAAAGCTAGTGAATCCTTTGTTTTCAATTGCCCTTACGACAGTGTTTACTTAATCACTGCAAGGACGGTTTGTTTATATCCCTCAAGCAAAATGACCTTGTCACTCACTGATGTACCTGATGATTTCTGAACAAGTTACCTAAAATGCAGTTTTAGTTTATCATCGTGCAGAAATCAGAAGCACAAGCTTTTGTATCGGGGTATGTTGACTACAAGTGTCGAAGTCAGACAATCAGCATCATAAATGTTGACATTAACACACAGGAAAAATGTGTAACTGACACTTTGTTTTAAGCAAGCGGGTAAAATGATGATTTTTTTTTTTGTTAATATCTCTAGACCCTGCGTATTAATTTATTGAATGAATGAATGAATTGTCCAGTGACTCATAAAGGCAGTAACTTGTTGCCACCTACTGGCATAATGTCTGAATTTGCTGAAAAACTCCCACCACAAATACACAAAACTAGTCTGTCTACAATGTGCAGAGACAAGCTGAGTGATGCAAACAGTGAAAAGTCCCAGTGCTGATACTGTTCATGTATAAAAAAATTTGGAAAGCCTCCCATCTAGATACAAGGAACGGAACTAAGTACAGTTATGGTAATGAATTTACAAACAGCTGCAAAATGATTATCATAAGTTTTTTTTTAGTACTGCCTGATTACGTGAATTTACACAACACGTTTACATGTTTAAAAAAAATAAACAGATCTTTACAAATTTGTCCATAAATGATCCACAACTGTTCATGAGTCATTTCTTTGTCCTGAGCAGTTAAACTGGCCACTGTTCTTCAGAAAAAGTCTGTCTGTCTGTCTATCTATCTATCTCTCTATCTAATCTTTTATTGTTTTGGTAGTAGTGTTGAATTTTTACATTTTACTTGTAAGGATTGTACAAATAAATTTATTTTTGTGATCTTTAGAAAAAAAGGGTGAAACGAAGGAAACATAGCCAGAAAATCCTTCAGACAGAACCCACAGCTGAAGACCTGGAGCAGACATGGCAAATAGTGTCTCAAGAACTCAGAACATCTGGCTTTCAGGTAAGTTGTAGAAAATCCGTAACGGAAAGAAAAAATTGATGACATTCAGATTTTTTAAAATTAGCAAATAGTTAAGTAAAAACATTAAAAAAAAAAACATCTTCAGAATCTTTCTGGCCTACCTGATAATGGGTGTGGGAAGCAGATTATCCTCTCCAGCACCAGTACTAATGATCCCCAAATGCCCTATAAATTGATTATACATTAAAAGACTGGCATCACATCAATACATTAAATACATAGTTAACGAACAGTGAAAAGATACAATGTCAGGTCCACCAAATCAAAATAGTACATAATCAACATTACACATAACAATCATATCAGTAGAAATAAAGACCCAGTAGCATAAAGAACATCTTAGGCCTGGGACACACTAGACGATTTTCAAATGTCAACCGATTTTAAAACTGGTGGAGACTACATACTTAAGGGCAGTTTCAACCAAAGTTTCAACACACCTGCCGATTGATAATTTTCACAAAACAAGTATGCCGATTAAACAGTTTCAAAAGTAGCACACTTAAAAATATACAAAACCGCCATCGCGAGGTAGCATTTCTGCACTGCGTGTGCACTAGGGCTGTGTATCACCAGCAAAGTCACGATACGTATCACGATACAGAGGATACTATACGTATCACGATACGGGACTGCACTAAATTTCACCTCAGCAGAATTTAGTAAAACAGCTGTTTATTAAACACTGCATACTATAGTGCCATTTTTAACTATTGGCAGAGCATGCAGTTGACATCTGCATTATGAAGGGCCTCCATAAGTGTACCACAGTACAATATAGGTAATGGCATATGTTTCATGTTTACATTGTGCACTCCCCACCAGGTACAATATTCTGATTGTTTGCATCTTGTTTTTAAGCCCATAAATAATGTACTCATTCTAATAAATTTAGATTGTAATGTACTCTTTCTAATATATTAAAAAATCATATTTACATTGCTGGTAGGTTATCATTGCACAAATTAACACACTCTCTACATTTAAAA